CATTTATTTCCTCATTGGAGCGGATTAAATGATGAATCATTTCTTAAAATAGATGGAAATTATGCAATGAAGTGCCGGCTTGTACTTGCTATATAGTGCAGTTTGATGAGCGGGCAGGTATTCCGGCTGAATAATCCCCTTGCAAAAGCCCAAGACATTCTTCACGATCGCAACATGGATAAAATCTTTAAAGGGCTTGGTATGTTAACTACAGCAAAGTCTTGTATCTTTCAGCTGCATGCATGGTCCCATGTTATTATTGAGTGCTGTCCGCGGTCAATGAAACGACAATCATTTTCTTAGGTAAACAAGATTATAAGATGAAATGAAAGAAAAGAACACAAGACTCGCGCACTGGTGGTCTCTAGTTTACGCCCTGAACCACGCTTGTACAGAGTATTTATCGGGATACTTTGAACTTGAAATAAAATTCGTTCCATTTGAAAACTTTAGTTGATTTTGTACCGAACAATTTTTGCAGGTGTTGTAACTGGAAAATGTTACAAAATGCATCAGGATTGGTCAAAGGCCCCAGAATGGGTGAAGGAACATTACAAGATTGAGGAGCAACAACATTGTGGTGATATTAGTGAGTATAGCACTACTGGTTTATCTTGTTTAGGTAAAAACATCTATCATCACAGCATTAAAAGTGAAGTTGCTGAGGCGCTAGCACCCAAACAGATTTGTTTTCTGCCCACCAATGACTTCCTAACCTAAATAGTAAATGTAAATTTATTATTTAATTGGCATAACCTAGCTTTTGAATGTCTTAAATTCAGCCACTCTTCCACAAGGCGCTGTGAAGGGAGTGGTTGAGGCGGTCGGTGTATTTGCCAAGGAAAATCCACACGACGTAGCTCTGATGGGTAAGAAGATCGCTAAGACTGTAGGAATTACAGAGCAACAAGGGTTGGCGTTTTCTTCTGGATTCCTTCAAACTGCAAACTTGAATGAGTAAAGGGTCATACGATTTCAGCGGTTACATCTCGAGCTCACTACCTGATATAACAACTATTTGTTTACTATAGTCACAGTGCTAAACTATTGCAAGTAAAAGTAAATGGAGTGAAGTGTACTAGCCATAAGGAGCCAAATTTTAATTTTTGAAACAAGAATCTCGGCACCAATTTAGGA